AAAAAAAAAAAAAAAAAAAAAGTGCTCAACCTTGATCACAAGAGAAATGCAAATTAAAACCACACTGAAGTGCCCTTTCTCACCCATCAGATTGACAACATGCAGGGTTGGTGGGGAGGCTGTGGGGAAAGGGGCCATAGCCAGTGAGGGTGGGAATGCAACAGAGCGACTCTGAAATTGACCAGGGGCATCTCCAAATATCATGAATGTGGTCACCCCTGGCTCACAATCCCACTTTGAGGAATGGATTTCACAGATTCTCTGGCAAAATACAAACAGATGTTTGCAGAAGGCTCCTTGCTGAGGAAGCATGAGGACACACCCCCACAGCTACGGTGGCTGTGGAGTAAATGACAGGCCTACCTGCCACACTGCCCAAAGCGAGGAGCTGCCAGAGAAGTTGCATGTTGCACTGTGCTAACCAGGAAAGGGGAGGGGGGCTGTACATAGTTCACTTATCAAGGGGGGAAAGGAGAGTCCATTAAAAAAATCAAGCGTTTCTTCCACAGGAGTGGGGGCAACAGGGTGGAGGGCACATGGATACAAGCTAGACTTCCCTACGACATCTTGTTTCATGGATGTGACGGATGAGACTTTGTAATTATAAATTATAAAAACTAGAGAATGCAAAGCCTGAAAACTGAAAGCAAAAAAATATCACACCCCTTAGGATGGCTATTATTAAAAAAGAAAGAAAAAAAACAGCAAACTAATGTAGAGGATGTGGAGAAGCTGGACGCCTTGGGCACTGCTGATGGGACACCATACAGCAGTTCCTCAAAAAAATAAACAGAAGTACCATTTGATCCAGCAAGTCCACTTTTGGGTGAATACCCAAAAGAAGCGAAAGCAGGCACTCAAACAGGTATCTGCACACCCATGTTCACTGCACCTGATCTTTTTTTTTTTTTTTTGGCCGCACTGTGAGGCTTGCAGGATCTTAGTTCCCCTATCAGGGATGCAACCGAGGCAAAGGCAGTGAAAGCGCTGAGTCCCAACCACTGAACCACCAGGGAATTCCCTCACTGCAGCATTACTCACAATAGCCAAAGGGTGGAACAACCCAAATGCCCATCTACGGATGATGGATAAAATGTTTACACCAATGAAAAGTAAAGTGTGAGAGTATCTTTACGACTTCCAGGCAAGAATGGAATTTTTAGAGCACAACGCACAATTCTTATATTGTGCACAGAAGTCCATGAACAAATTTAACCACCAAAAGACTAAAGAACAAGTGCAAATCAATAAGGAAACGATTGTTCAAAAGCCTGAGCAAAAACGTACGTATGGGGCTTCCCTGGTGGCGCAGTGGTTGAGAGTCCGCCTGCCGATGCAGGAGACACGGGTTCGTGCCCGGTCCGGGAAGATCCCACATGCCGCGGAGCGGCTAGGCCCGTGAGCCATGGCCGCTGAGCCTGCGCGTCCGGAGCCTGTGCTCCGCAACGGGAGAGGCCACAACAGTGAGAGGCCCGCGTACCGCAAAAACAAAACAAAAACGCACGTAGGTGTGCACAGGAGATACACACAATTTCACTACCAAAAAAAAAAAGTAATAAAAATCGAGCAGCATCTGCATCAGAGACTAAGTGAAACGCGAGGTCCATCTCCATTAAGCAGAACATTTACAGAAATGAAAAGACGATGCCCGCGAAGACCACAGTGGTGAGCGCGCACGGTCCGCACAGCCCGGACGCGGGAGAGCGCCGCGGACCAAGGGGAGGAGGGGCGCCGCGGGGACTGCGTAACCACCACGCGGACGCGGGACACGGACCTCCGCGGGGACCCGCCAGCCGGTGCCCCGGGCTCTGCTCTACGGAGGGGAGAGCGGGTTTCGTAACAATTCCTACCCCTCCCGAGTGGGAGGCGGGCCTGGAGGAACCGAGGGCCCGGCAGCCTCTCGGGACCAAGGTCCACCCGGAGGAGCCCGGCGTCCGCTGGGCCCGAGGAAACATGACGCCCCCGCCCCGGTGTCTCCCATTCTCTCGCCGCCACCCCCGCGTCTCGCCGTCTCTCGCCGCCACCCTTCGCCAGTCCCCCTTCCCCTCTCCCCTCTCCTCCCCAGTCACCCCCGCCACCCCACCCCTCCGCCTGACGCCCAGAAACCACGCGGGAGACAAGGGTGCTGGCGGTCGCAGCCGGCGTGATGCACTAGGCGGGCAGCAGTCCGCGCGCGCGCAGCTCCAGCAGCGGGGCCAGCGTGTAGCGCAGGCGACGGATAGCGGCGTCCGAGCCGGGTCGCATGAGCCCGCGGCGGAGGGCCGAGGGGTTCACCAGCGCCAGGTAGAGCAGCGGCAGTGCCACGACGCCCAGCAGGAGCAGCAGCAGCGTCTGCAGCGCGCCCAGCGCCCACAGCCTGCGGACCACGACGCACCGGCAGACGGGTGGTGGCGGGTCGCCGGGAGCACCCCGGACCCCAGACTCCAGCGCCACGCCCGCCGCCGGCTCACCTGATGCCCGCCGCGCCCGCGCCACAGAACAGCCGCTTCTCCTGCGGGGAAGAGGGAGCGACTTACAGCTCCGCGCCAGGGAGCGGTGGGGGGAACCCCCTGGGGAAGCGGAGCCCGTGGGTGCGCGTCACTCCGTGGGGGGCGTGGCACTACGGGGCGGGTCCCCTATGCGGGCGTGGTCCTTGGGTGGGCCGTCCCGTGGCAGGCGTGGCCGCCCAGCGGGGTTGGTATCAAGGGGCGGGTCCCTGGGGGGAGGGGGGCAAAAATCCCTGATGGGATGGTCACGTGTGTGTGGGCAGCCCCGGGGGCAGGTCCGGGCTCCAGCCCGTCCCCGCCCAGGCCCGCACTCACACAGTCCGCTTTGGCCACCTCCTCCATGAGCGAGCCCGCGCATCCCTGCCCCTGGCCAGGCTGCGACTCGCACCTGTGGAGACAGGCATGGCGATGTGCCCTCTGTCCGGGCCCACAGTCACCTCCCCACACCCGACAGTCTTAACCCCTTACGGCTCCCCGCCGCCCTGCGAGGCGTCCAGCGCAGTCGCCGCCTCCATCACCTTCCCCTGCAGCTCCTGGAGGGGGTGGGAGTGAGGCCTCACACCTGGGAAGACCTTGGTGAGGCAGGCCCCGGCAGCTCCGGGGGAGGAGGCCGCAGTGGGGTCGGAGGTGAGCGGCTCTCCGAGTGGAGGGTGGCGGCACCTGCAAGACTCCGCTCTGCTCCTGGAAGCTGACCCAGGCCTCTTCCATCCGCTGTGCGCTCTGGCATGAGGGGAACCCTGATTAGACTTGGGGAAGTCAGCCCTCTCCACCGTCCGGCGCCTGCCCAGGCCCCACCCACACCCCAAGCCGACCCTCCCACTGAGTACCCGGCTCCGCCCGCACCTGCCGCAGGGCCTCCGCCTGCCTGGCGTGCTTGGCCTCCACCAGCTCCAGTTGTTTCTTCCGGAGGATCCAGGGAAGGTAAGGAGTCCGCCACTCCCCGAGCTCGCCGCGCCAGACCCCGCCCCAACGCCCGGCCAAGAGGTTCATGCCCCACCCGCCCGCCCGCCCTCAGCCCCAAGGCCCCGCCCTCAGATCATCAAAGCCCCGCCCACACCAGCGCTCCTGCCCTCGGGGCCCCACCCAAGCACCTGCAAAGCCACCAGTTGGGTCCCGAGTTGCTGCTCTGCGCGCTGCTGACTCAGTTGTTCTCCTCCATAGTAAAAGAGCTGGGGGTGGGGCTTGTGAGGGCTGGGCTTGCGGGGCTTCTAGGGGTGGGGATTATCCTGGGAGGCGGGGACGCGGCGGAAATGGGGGTTGGGGACTAGGGTGGGGCTTCCTAGGGGAAGCGTGAGACGGAAGCCGTCTCCTGAAGGTACCTGGCTTGACAGCTCCTCCCACTGCTCCTGCAGCTGACGGTTTTGTTGCTCCTGGACGGGATCGAGGGGGCGGTCCGGGCCTCTCCGAGGTCCCCGCCCCCACCGCAGTCCCCGCCCCATTAAAGATCCCTCCCTCCTCACTGGCCTCGCCCACCAATAGCCCCGCCCCGTCCAGGGTCCCACCCTGCTTCAGGCCCCGCCCCCCACAAGGTCCCACCCCGTCCAAGGCCCCGCCCTCTCCTCAGGCTCCGCCCCATTCAAGGCCCCTCCCCTTCACTGGTCCCGCCCATCCAGAGACCCGCCCCGTCCAGGGTCCCGCACTCCGAAGGCTCCGCCCCATTTAGGGCCCCGCCCCACCAGGTCTAGCTTGTGCTGCTCCGCAGCCTCCAGCCGCTGGCGCGCCCGATCTGCGCGCTCCCGCGCCGCCTCGCTCGCTTCCCCGCGCAGGGACCGCACCGCCTGGCTCCGCTGCCTCTGCAGGCTGCGGAGGGGAAACTGAGGCTCCGCGGCCCGGGGTGACGCCCGGATGCCAGCCACCTCGCGGTGCCCCCGCACGTCGCTCGGTCCCAAGGCCCGGGTGGAGGTGAGGAGCAGCCCGCACCTGCGCTCGCGCTCGCTCAGGTCGTGCAGGCGCGCTGTGAGGCTCTCGCTCTCGGCCTCCAGCCCGCGCACCAGCTCCTCCAGCTCCTGCTTCCGCAGGCGCCCGTCGCGGTTGTCCTTCAGCAGCTGCAGCAGTAGCTCCTGCGCCTCGGCCATGCCCCGGCTCTGCCCGCCGCCGCCGGACCCGCGTCACAATGGGTGGAGCGCGGGGCGGTTCGGAACCGCTGCTCACGGGCAGCCATCGGACCGCGCAGGCCGGTAGGTGCTCGCACCTGAAGCAGAAGGCGCTCGCACCTGAAGCAGAAGGTTCCCGCTCGCTGCCGACGGCACTGCGGACTGAGAAGCCTCCTGTGGGAAAGAGATCAGGATCCATAAACAGGTTCTTATCTTTGGACCCAAAGATCCCACTCCTGGGAACTTAATCTAGGAAGGAAAAAAAAAATTCTTAAACCACAACGCGTTAAGTGGGTTCACTCAGGTGGGTAGTTACAGTCATCACAAAGAGGATACCACTGTAGTTACTGAAATGATGTATTTTATGTGGCATACATAGAGATATGATGTCTAGTGAAAAAAAGAATATGATTTACTATGTATGCTGAAATAACTAAGATTGTAATGTACACGGATAAGATCTTTAAAGGAAACAAGAAAAAGACAAGCTATTTCATTGGTGAAATTGCAGGTAAACTTGTTCTTTTAAAGTCGGCTTTCATTTGGCCAATTTAGACTATGAAGCTGGATGCAAAACTCCTAAATAAATTATTAGCTGACCAAATCCAAAGGGGTACATTGAAAAAAAAAGGTACATGAAACCAAGCAGACTTTATTCCAGAGATTGTTCAAGATCAGAAAATTGACATCATTCACCACATGGATAAAAGAGGGAGAACACCAGCTTCAGTAGAGCATTTCAGTAGGAGCAGAACGCGGGATAGAGCTCCTCATCTGTGGAAAATTTAAAGAGGGATCAAAAGGGACTCTAAACTGATGAAAGCTGCTTAGTAAACACTCCTTAGGGAGGCAGTATTAGCAGCCTTCCCGTTAAGATTTTAAGAGACAAGAATGACCCTCCTGCTCAGGTCTAACAGTGCTGGAGGACCTGCAAGGAAGCAAGAAAAAGAAATAGGAAAGTCTGAGGAGTCAGCAGATACAGCTGGGTGCCTACCATAAAGCTGCCCCTCCTGCACTGCTGGTGGGAATGTAAATTAGTGCAGCCATTTTGGAGAACAGGATGGAGGTTCCTCATGAAACTAAAGATAGAGTTGCCAGGACTTCCCTGCTGGCACAGTGGTTAAGAATCCGCCTGCCGGGCTTCCCTGGTGGCGCAGTGGTTGAGAGTCCGCCTGCCGATGCAGGGGACACAGGTTCGTGCCCCGGTCCGGGAAAATCCCACATGCCGCGGAGCGGCTGGGCCCGTGAGCCATGGCCGCTGAGCCTGTGCGTCTGGAGCCTGTGCTCCGCAACGGGAGAGGCCACAACAGTGAGAGGCCCGCGTACCGCAAAAAAAAAAAGAAAAAAAGAACCCGCCTGCCAATGCAGGGGACATGGGTTTGAGCCCTGGTCTGGGAAGATCCCACATGCTGCGGAGCAACTAAGCCCGTGCACCACAACTACTGAGTCTGCGCTCTAGAGCCCGCGAGCCACAACTACTGAAACCTGCGCGCCTAGAGCCCGTGCTCAGCAACAAGAGAAGTCACCACAATGAGAAGCCCGCACACCACAATGAAGAAAGCCCGCGTGCAGCAGCAAAGACCCAACGCAACCAAAAATAAATTTTAAAAAAGAGTTGCCATATGATCCAACAGCCCCACTCCTGGGCATATATACAGACAAAACTCTAATTCGAAAAGTTACATGCACCCCAATGTTCATTGCAGCATTACTTACAATAGCCAAGACATGGAAACAACTGACAGATGACTAGATAAAGAAGATGTGGTATATATACAACAGAATACTACTCAGCCATCAAAAAGAATGAAATAATGCCATTCGCAGCAACATGGATGGACATAGAGATGATCATACTAAGTGAAATAAGTCAGAAAAAGACAAATACCATATGGTATCACCTATATGTGGAATCTGAAATATGACACAAATGAACTTATCTATGGAACAGAAACAGACTCACAGACATAGAGAACAGGCTTGTGGTTGCCAAGGGGCGGGGAGAGAAGGATTGGGAGTTTGGGATTAGCAGATGCCAACTACTATATATAGGATGGATAAACAACAAGGTCCTACTGTATAGCACAGGGAACTATATTCAATATCCTGTGATAAACCGTAATGGAAAATAAATAAATAAATAAAAAGGTGCTGGTGTGAGAGTCCCACACCCCCGCTCCAGCTCTGTGGCTTGGTTTCTCCACCTGTAAAGTGGGGCTGTTACCAGACTCCCTTACAGACCCAGGGGGCCAGTGACTCACACCACACAGCTGAGGCTCTGAGCGTTGCACCATCACTGGCTCCAGTGTTGGACGTCCAGCCCCAGAAGGTGGCGCCGAGCTCCTGAAAGTCTGGTCCCGACCGAGATGTGAACCCTGCGAAGCACCATCTCATTGATAATTTTTGTATCGATTACATATGAAATACCGTGAATATACTGGGCTCAATGACACACTAGAATCTGGCCCACTTGTTTCTCTTTCCAGTTTCCCATGGCTCCTGGAACACAAGCTCCAGTCCCATGGGACAGCTTTGCACTCCCGGGGGCCCCTCCATCCCCTCACAGCGTCCCCATGACCACACCGCGCCCACTGCCTAGGCGTCCTGATCCCGGTTTACGTGGGGAAGCTCAGTGACGACAGGTCACCAGGCAGTGGCAGCTCAGGTGCCCTGTCCCCGCGAGAAGCTGGGCCTGCATCCAGCCCTCACGGCGGTGACATTGGCCACCCCCTGGGTTGCTGTTCTGCAGCCTCAGAGGGTGAGCTGAGGAGCGCTTTGACCCCTCCCCGCCCCTGGTCTTTAGGAGGAAACTCTGCAGGGAAAGCCCGGGGCTGAGGAAGCCTCCGGTGAAACCCAAGCCACTTCCCTGGCGGTGGGGGCGACAGGAGCCATGGAAACAGACCCCCAGCTGCGGTGCCCCTGCCCTTTGCTCCCACTGGACCCGGTGGAAGCACCTGCCTGTCTTCCCACCCAGCCTGCTGGCCCTGCTCTGCCCCTCCCCCAGGACTCAGGTTCAAGGTCCTCTTCTCCGGGCCTCCCTCCCCACCCAGGCCCTCACCGAGGGGCACAGCCCAGGAAAGGGGTGGTGCAGGGCCCCCAACCCTGTCTTCAGGGCTGAATGCAGTGGTTGCACACTCAGTGCATGGTCGGGTGAGGACATCTGCGTGGTGCCAGGAGCTCAATAAATGTCTGTTCAATCAGAGAAATAGTTATAAAATCCATGCCTGTTGTGCACAGTCCCTTTTTTTCTATTTGAAACTTGTATTTTTTGCCTGATAAGAGAAAAAAGGGGAATTCCCTGATGGTCCAGTAGTTAGGACTCTGCGCATTTACTGCCGAGGGCATGGGTCCAATCCCTGCTCCAGGAAATAAGATCCTGCAAGCCTAGCTGCAAGGCCAAAAAAAATAGAAAAAAGATTCCCATAAACCACGATGTATCAAATAATAGCTCAATGGCACAGAGTCCCCCCAGTGTGGGCCCGCCTGCCAACCCCCCACCGTCTCCCACGCCAGCCACAGGGAAGTCACCTCAGTCCCATAAACAGACCACGTGCTCTGATGCCTCCACACTTTGCATGCACTGTTCCCCACCGGTGGGGCGGCCCTGCCTAAGCGCCTGGTGTCTGACCAGCTCCTCACAGCTCTTCACCAGCCTGTTTAATGGTTAGACGTTGAGTTACTGTGACAGCAGGTCAGGTGATGAGCTGTCTCATTTGCTGCCCCAGCCTGCAACCCCACCTCCTACCAAGGGCCGGAGGAGGCTGGTCAGCGGCTGCCTCCCCCGCCCTGCTCTTGAAGACTGAGGTCTGCATCTCTGTCAGCAGACAGGCAGTGTGGGGACAGGAAGAGGAATTCTCGGGGGGTGCGGTGATGGCCACTGGCATGAGCTCTGCCCACATCCTGGGAGGCACCCCAGGGCCAAGGGATCACTGCCTGTAGCATCACAAAGTGGGCAGGTTCTGGGGATACCCCCGACTCCCCAGGGGGCACACTGCGAGGGGCAATGCCTCAGTGAGGAGCTTGTGACCCCAGCAGGTACCTGCGGAGGGCAGAGGTGGCCTGTGCCCCAAGGCAGGAGAGGGTGCCAATGGCGCCAACATGGACAGAGGGTTACTGGGGACCCCCACAGCCACCCAAGGCCGCACATGGCAGGTCTGTGTGCCCCGTGTGGGCTGAAGCGTGTCCCCCAGAATTCCTACGTTGAAGGCCTGCCCCAGCATCTCAGAATGTGACTGTGTCTGGAGATGGGTCTTTGGGTTGGACCCTAACCCAGTCTGACCAGGGTCCTTGCAAGGGGAAATCTGGCCACAGACACACAGAGGGACAAACAGATGGGGACACAGGGTGATGAGGGCATCTACGTGCCACGCAGAGGCCTCTGGAGAGAGACCACCCGGCCGACACCTGGGTCTCAGACTTCCGGTCCCCAGAACTGTGAGAAGTCAACCCCATACTCTGCTCCCAGCCTGGGGTCCTTTGCTACATCGGCCGGATCCCCCACAGCCTGCCTTCCCCCACTGTGAGGGAGTCCTGGGTGGCCCCTGAGGGCAGGGCAGTGGTGGGAGGGTCACCCGGCCCTTTAACCAGGGGTCAATCCCAGACTGTCAACTGACATTTTTCAACTGTGGTATAATTGACACATAACATTAGTTTCAGGAGCTCAACACGATGATTCCATCTTTATGGACATTGTGAAATGATCACCACAGTAAGTCCAGGTAACATCGTAAACCACACAGTGACCAGAAAAAACTCTACCCTCAGCCACGTTCCCCGGTGCCCCGCGAGGCAGGGGGCCCCTCGGAATCAGCAGCAGTGACATCCTGCAGTGTGGAGACCTTTAACAACACGCTGCCCCATCCCCCACCCCGGCTTCGGGGGGAGCCGTCCAAAAGCTTCCTCTCCATTTGCTAAACTCAGAAAAGGTCCTTCCAGAAGGTCTATGAAAACATTCCGCTTCGGGGCTGCCTCCTGCGTGAAGA